TAACATATGTATATTGCCTCAAATTTACTCTACTAAGTTTAGTGAAAATAGTTGATATGATTTAATTGAGTAAATTCAACTTATTTTAGAGCACATAAACAACTCCTTTCATGATGAGTTCAGACAGATTTAATTTATAACAAGTAACTAGGTGTTAAGTTTAAAGTAAATAAGTAAAAGTATAATTTTTAGGCCGTAAAAGTAGCTAAGTAAAAGTAAAAGTCATGATTTAAAAAAAAATTGGTAAAATTACAAATCCTCAAAAAATTACTTAACTGCTGTAACAAAGTAAATGTACTTACTATAAACCTCTGTTTATAGGTTGCTAACTTCATGAGCTGATAACTGTGATTAAGTTATGTCTGTGAAAGGCTGTCATACCCAAAATATCATCATGCAATCATTTAGTTTTGMCACCCTGAGATGGACCAAWAAGTTGTCTGACTGTRTTTCATTTTACATAKTCACATTTTTATTTCTTTGTATGTCCACTTAGTTTTTTTTTTCAATAATTTAAATATGTATTGCTCATTTTTTACATATTTTCCCTGTATTTATTTTTAGGGCACGCTCGTGACTCTATACATATCAGGAGAGTGCAGTTGCGCGCATGCGCATTAGGTATTTTCCCCCCACCATGGCTGACACGGGCTGGCCAGGCTGTGCAAAGAGTTTGAAAGGTGTCATTTTAGACTTGTGTGGAGTTTTGTATGACAGCGGAGAAGGCGACGGAGTTGCCATTTCTGCCTCGGTGGAAGCTGTGAATAGGTGGGGGGGAAGCCGGCGACATTTTTGTTCTTTTAAAATCTGCAAGTTTAGTCCCTTTTTTTAGGGATTTGAGAACGCTTGTGAATGCACAGGTTCTGAATGTAAATGTAACTTTTTATTTTAGGCTGAAAGCTTCCGATCTGCAGCTGCGCTTCTGCACCAATGAGACGCAGGCGACCAGAGAGAAGTTTGTAGCCAAACTCAGGAGGCTGGGTTTTGACATTTCTGTGTCTGAGGTCTTCCCTCCTGCGCCTGCAGCCATTGCTGTTCTCAGGGAGAGAGGTCTACGTCCCCACCTGCTGGTCCATGACGGTAATGCTTCACGAAGAACCCCTCAGAGGTTTTTTTTTTTTTTTTTTTTTTTTTATCCAGAAGATCCAGAAGGATCCCTTATCCCAAATTAAAAAAACAAAAACGAAACAAGTTTTTTTTTTTTGTGTAAACATCTGATTTGTTTAAGATGCTTCATTGTGAATAAAATATATGAAAAAGAAAAAAAATGTATAGGTCTTCTGGACGGGTTCTTCTCAAATGAAACGTTTTGTCTCTCCTCCAAGAGACTTCTTCAGTCTGAGAGTTTCAGGCAAAATTCAGGCTTTTAAGCACTGCCTCCAGGTGACTGCAGTCACCTGGAGG